AGAACATGTAATTTGTATATGGAGAATATGAAGCAAATATTAACAATTTACTCATTGTAGCTGACTAGGAGCTATTTAATATATGGTTCTTAATATTTTCCTAAGTATTTAGAACTTTCCAAATATCTAAAAATAGAAAACCCCACAACCTATTGTTTTTCTTTCCTTGTGGTCAAGAATATACAGTTTATGACTGGGATTCTACAATTCTTTAAATGTTTTGTAGTATTTGCCTGTAAAATAGGTATTCGTAGTTTTTTTTTTTTTAAGTGGTTACAAAGATCAGAATAAGCTACTTCAAAGTATGTCATTTTAGCAAGAGTTGTTTCTGAGTTAAAAAACAACTGAGACTATGTGCTGGGTGGTTTCTTGACAATTCAGTATGACCTATCTGGGATAGAAAATCCTAATTGAGAAAATGCCTTGAAATGAAGGTATTTTCTTGGTTAGTGCTTGATGTGGGAGGTGGTACTCCCTGGGCAGGCAAGTGGTCCTGAGTGGGATAAGAGAGCAGGCTGAGAAGCCATGGGGAACAAACAAGTAAGCAGTGTTTCCCACCACTCTGCTTCAGTTCCTACCCTGAGTTCCTTCAACTGTGATGTGGAAGTGTAAGCCACATAAACCCTTTCCTTCTCAAGTTGGTCATGGTCCTTATCACAGCAATAAAAACGTAACAAGTTGTAAAGAATTTACAAGTCTTCTGCCAGGCATGGTGGCTTACACCTACTCTTTTTGTTTGTTTGTTTGTTTGTTTTTGTTTGTTATAGTTTTGGAGCTTGTCCTAGAACTAGCTCTGTAGACCAGGCTGACCTCAGACAGATTATCTGCCTGCCTCTGCTTCCCCAGTGCGCCTGGCTCATGCCTATAATTCTAATTAATATTCAGGAGGTTGAGGCAGAAGATTTAGCCTGAATTAAAGGCAAGCTTGGACTACATAGTGAGATTCTGTTTCAAAAACACCCAAAGGGCTGGGGAGAGAGCTCAGAAGTGAAGTGTTTACCACACAGGCATGATGACCTGAACGTTGAGAGCTCATTTAAAAAGGTAAGATGTGAGCCAGGAGTTGTGGCATGCATTGAATCCCATCACTCAGGAAGCTGAGTGAGTGCTGGTCTATATAACAAGTCCCAGGAAAGCCAGGGCTATACAGAGACCCTGTCACACAAATAGAATTAGATGTGGTGGCATGTACATGTAATTCTATCTCTGGGAAGGCAAGGAATAGTACATGTTTCGGGCTTGCTGGCCAGCCAGTTTACTATATATGGTAAGTTCCAAATCAATGAGAGATCCTATCTCTGGGTATCCTCGGAAAAAAGTATATATTCTCTAATTGGCATGCTCACGGCTTACCTGCATATTATATTAAGAATGACATCTAGGCTGGGTATGGTGGCTCATGCCTTTAATTCCAGCACTCGGGAGGCAGTTAGGCAGATCTCTCTCTGAGTTCACAGTCAGCCTGGTCTACAAAATGAGTTCCAGAGCAGCCAGGGTGGTTATAGGGAAACCTGTCTCAAACAAACAAACAAACAAACACAAACAAACAAGCAAAAAAGAATGACCCTAGGCTGGGCATATTGGGAAATCCCTGTAATCATAGCACTTGTGGGGAGCAGAGGTAGAAAGGTCTCAAGTTCAAGATCAGCATAGGATGTAAAGGAAAATCATTTTGAGACCCCATGTTAAAAAAAAAAAAGAATTATGACAACTATATTTAAATACAGTACTTAATATTCTAATTATTTTGTGCTGGGATTATATGCATTTACCACTACATATGACCAAGAGTACATTTCAGAAGTTTATGTAAGTGGAATTACAAAGTATGTATACATTTTTGTCTGTCTTCTTTTCTACAGAAAACTTTTCTTGAGATTCATCTATGGTGAATGCAGGGAATATTGGTAACTTTTCTTTCGATTAAAATGATGTTCTTTGTACAGATATACCACAATTTCTTTTGAAATTCCTGTTTGTTTTGTTTTTAGGTTTTTGTTTTTATTTTGTTTTTAGTTTTTTTTTTTTTTTTAATTTACTTTTGAGACAGGGTCTCATTCTGTACCTCTAGCTAGCCTTGAAGTTATTCTGACCTACCTGGTTCTCTGTCCCAAGGGCTGGGATTACAGGTATATTCACCAAGGATCAGTTTAACAGTTTATCTGCTGATGGACATTTGGAATTTGGAGTTATGAGAAACAGAACATCAAAGTAACACTTACTTACAAATCCTTACTTTTCATGCTTGGATAAACACTTCAGAGTAAAATGGCTGGGTCATGTGCTAGGGGGTATTTTAACTTTGCATATAATTACCATACTGTTCCTTTTAAAACTAAAGTATACACCCAACAAAGTCTATCTTAATTATTTTTAAATATTAACTGCTCAGTGAGGTTAATATTCATGCCATTGTGCAACCAATACCCTAAACTCTTTCCATATTGTTCTTAAAAGACATTTATTTTTTAATTTGGTGTGTATGGCTGTTTTGCCTCCATATGTGTCTGTGTATCAAATGCATACAGTGCCTACAAAGGCCAGAAGAGAGCACTGGGCACCCAGGAACTAGTTACAAATGGCTGTGAGTGAGCTGCCACATGGGTGCTAGGAATGGAATCAGGGTCCTCTGCAAGAGCAGCCAGGGTTCATAACTATGGAGCCATCTCTCCAGCCCCAATGTTCTCTACTTTCTGCTCGTAAGTATAGGCAACTAAAAATGAAGAGGGGATGGGTGTCCATAAACTTTTTATAACATAGGATGTTTCAGAGATAGAATTTCTATCTACAAATAATTTTATATCATGTTCCCTGTTTAAGGAGATAAATAATAACACAAGGATATTACTCAGGAAGTATGGGAACAGCAAGTTTAATTAGTCTATATATGACAAAAAAAGGAAAAAGGGTAAGAGAACTGAATTTGTTTTATAAATTGAGTTTATTCTGCTTTATCACAACTCTTTCTGGAAGAAAACGCAGGGAAAGTGTATACAAATACACTTGATCATTGTTTGAAAACTATTTTCTAAGGAAGATCAAAATCCATATGCAGATAGTGGGCAACTCTGCTAGTTCTTAATCAGAAATTCTGGGTTCTAAGGCATCCCTTTATAGTAACATTTTTTAAAGTCAAGAGGAATTTTGGAACATGGAAAAACACCAATTGCACCTTGAATTTCTGTTGTCTCACAGGGAAAGCAAATGAATGTTACTTTGATTTCAGCTGATTTGGAACTTTTTGTTAACTTTTTATTAAAAGCAACCATATAAGCTTGGAGAAGTGTCTCAGTGGTTAAAAACACTGGCTGCTCTTCTAGAAGACAGATTCAGTTCCCATATCAGATAACTCACAACTAAACTACCTATGACTTCAGTCGCTAGGAATCTAAGGCCTTCTCTTCCCTCTCTGGACACCCACAGACATACACACATATATACATAAAAATAATAATGTACATCTTATTTGAAAAGCAGCCATATACATTAAAAATTACTTGCTTAAGTTATAGAAATGTTATTTATTAAGGCTGACAACTTGAAGACTTCAGATCATCTATAATAACTCAGCAGATTTTACAGCTTTAAATGTTTCTTACAATTTATCTAATGATACTTGGTTTTGTGGGTATTTTGTTGTTGTTCTTTTTTCCGAGACAGGGTTTCTCTGTGTAGCCCTGGCCGTCCTGGAACTCACTCTGTAGCCCAGGCTGGCCTTGAACTCAGAGATCCGCCTGCCTCTGCCTCTCAGTGCTGGGATTAAAGGTATGAGCTACTTACTACTAGCTCAATACTTGTAACAACAATTTTTAAGAAGTTATAGAAGTTATATAAGCAGGAAGAGAAATACTAAGTGTACTGAATGTTAACTTCTGAGAACTTAGAATAGCAATTACTCAGAGGAAAGAATCTTAGTTGATACAAGCTTAAATCAAGAAATTCTAATCACCTCTTTTTTTAAAAAAAAGATTTATCAATACTTATCCCTATCATAGGTGTGGACTGTGGGAGCCCATCCCACATGGAGGGATACTCCCTGAGCCTAGACACTCGGGATGAGCATAGGCCCTATCCCAAAGGCTTTGACAGTCTTTGAAGACCCCCTATGGAAGGCCTCACCCTCCCTTGGGAACAGAAAGGGTATGGGCTAGGTAGGGTGTTAGTTGGGGGGGCAGGGGAGGAGGGGAGGGAAAGGGACCTGGAATTGGCATGTAAAATAATTTCTTTCTAATTAAAATAAAAGATCATTAAAAAAAAGATTTAATCATTTTTATTTTTGCTTTTGAGTGTTTTACCTGCCAGTTTGAAAAGGCACCATATGTGGGTCTGGTATTCTTGGAGGCCAAAAGTGGGCATTAAATCCCCCCAAAATGGAATTACACATGGTTGTGGCTCAACACACAGTGCAGGGAACTGAAGTCAGGTCCTCTGCAAGAGCAGGCAGTGCTCCTCTACTGAGCCGTCTCTCTAGTCTCCTAACATCTCTTAACTGTTACTTACATTTAAGTGCCATTCAAGTTTGATGGACTGCCAGGTGTGGTGGGACAGAACTTTAATTCCAGCACTTGAGAGGCAGAGGCAGGCTGTGAGTTGGAGGCCAGATATACAGAATAGTGTGTTCTGGACCAGCTATGGCTACATAGTGAAACCATGTCTAAGAAAATAACAAATAATTAAATAAACCCAGCACTCTAGAGGCAGAGGCAGATGGATCTCTGTGAGTTTGAGGCCACCCTGGTCTACAAGGTAAGTTCCAGGACAGCCAAGGCTACACAAAGAAACCCTCTCTCAGAAGAAACAAACAAAACACCAAACAAACAAAAAGCCAAAGAAGAAAAAAAAAAAAAAGAAATGTGGTAACTATATAGACTCTGACACAAAACAATCATGCCTTTTCTATGCTTGTTTGAAATGGGTGGCTACATTTACATGGCTCTGAACATACAGGGATAATGTTCAACACACAGAAATAGCAAAGATTACAATAAACACCAACTCACCACTGTCCTCTGTTTGTTGGGCAGGAAGACTCTAACGATGGGTTTCTGTGGTGACTTGGGGTTGTTGCGTGATACGTCTGTGGGAGTTTGAAAAACTGAGAGAGAGGAAGGTAGCACTGAAAGGCTAGAAGAGGAGGAGGATGTAACGGTATCCATTGATGCCGAGCTAGACACAGAAAAATCAGTTCCATTCCCCAGGGACTCCAACAGCTGTTGCTCTCTTTGCTGGAGGGCATCTAGCTTGCTGGTGTACTCTTCATAGGCCTATAAAATAAAGGACATAGAGTTTGTTCTGACATCCACAAAAGACATATGACTTCAGTCTTTGATTATAACTTCTTTATAATTTAAAACAGGGTTTTAAGCTACAAATTACAAAGTACTGAAAGTGCTACAAACACTCTCCCTTTTCAATGGAAAAATGTTATAGGACAATAGTTTATTACATTGGGAAACAACCTAAGTATGTTTTATACACATGCTCCTTAAATGTTAATTTAAAAAACAGTATTTCCCAATTTTCTGGTCAAAGAGTAATTTATTTTCCAAACCACAAGTTTAGTACAAGACAATATATACATAAAATATTACATTGCATCAAGGATAGATGTCTGTCTCTTCTTCTATATACTATTTTCCAGAACAGTTGCAGGCATATCAAGTTTCATAGACTTTGACAATAAACAACATTGTTATACTTTTTAAAAATGGATGATTCCATTTGTGTGACTCTGAATATGAAGTGATAATATTCGTGCATGATGAATATGAGCATGCACATATGAGTGCGTGCATATGAACAGAGACAGAATGTAAAGGAAGCGGTTATTATAGTTACGTTAAAATTCCGAAATGAGTTACACAGTGCCAGAGCGAGAGCCAGATCACACTGGTCTCAGAGTCTACATCAGACCTTGCTGGGGTTTAGAGGATTTGTAGCTACTATCTTCTTTCTGAAATAGCTATAGTTATCCTCAGGCGGCTTTTGGCAGAAAGATTTATCGTAACAGAATGGTGTCAGAAGTGGGATGACCCCAGGCCCCAAGGTTCCCGGAGAAAGAGGGAATCCTGCCGCCACAGCCTGCCCTTTCGGGCTGCTGAGAGGCATTGGAACATCTTCCATAGGCTCTCGCCATCCAGGCGCTTCTGGAGTTTAGACTTGGCATTTCTGAGATGATAAAGTCAGATCCAGATAAAGAAAAACCTCTAAAGGTTTACACTACATTTAAAAATATATGTAGGCTTGTGAGAGAAAAAGTAACAGGAGGAAATAGAGTAGCCGGTTATGGTGGCGCACGCTGGTAGGATTTGCTGAAGGAAGCAGAGGCAGGCAGATTTCCACAGAGAAACCCTGACTCAGAAAAAAAAGAAACAAAAGGAAGTAAAAGTATGATAATAAAAAGCCACCTAGAGATGAAAAATACACAAAGAAGCTGGATACTAAATGCCATACTGTTGTCTTTAAATTGTTTGACTGCCAAGGAAAGACTTAGTGCTGCTAAAATACATTTGATTATAAATGCTGCTAAATTAATCCAATTTATACATTTTAAAAATGCTCTAACTTCAAAATTTAAGTTTAAGGACAGGCTACTTAGAAATAAAGGTTTTGCTTATATTTCCACAGAAAATGAAAAGCTGTGGATTCCTTCCAGACTAATATGGTTTGCTCAAACAAGACCCCCTAAAGCTGAGACGATACAGCCTTACAGACTACAAAAACAAGGACTTGGTCAGGTTTCTATGTTTTATCATGATCCCAATGATATGAACATTGCCCTCAATCAGCGGGAAACAGTTGAGAAAGAACGACGCCCATATTCCCAAATATTGTTTATAAATGTTTGTTTTCATTTAAATGGGGTTGGTTATAAATGAAAATGAGCATAGTCAATTTTTTTTAAAGAAAAAAAGGGAAATAGGATATAGGAATGAATACTTTGCATTGGTATAGATTTTCATTTATTGATACAACTTTAAGGTCAATTTTGTGATATGTATATGTCTCCTCTTGTTTAGGTATTGTGTTTATACAGATCTTTTAAAATGATATGCATAATTAAGTACATAATATAGTTACTTATAATAGTCAGAACTTATAATTAAGTTAGTTAGGTTTTCTAGATTTACAGAGATGTATTTGAGATGGTTAGGTATTCTTCAAACCTTTCAAAGACCTACAGAAATATGGCATTTAAATGTTTTAGGGTTTAAAGGAGGATGGGCATCAAAGAAACTCGTTATGGAGTTTGCTTTCAACATGGCAAGATTAGCCATTTGGGCAAGAAACTGCTCTTGCCTGGACTGTTTGTTGCTAAATAAACTGGACATGCAGCACCCACAAGAAAATGTCTGCTGAACTTACAAAACAAGACAGTGCTAAAGGGTTCCTGTTAAAATGGAGAAGTATGCCAGACACACTGTGGCCTATGGGCTGAAGATGGATGCCCCAGTGTTACAGAGGAACTTTGGGTGACTGTCCAGATGTCTCTGTCAATTCTAGAGTTTATATATTATCCTTCTGTGGTCTTTGATAGAGTTAAAGACAGATAGTTATGGTTATAGTTTTCTTCAGTTATTATAAAAGATAAGTTACCCTTCTTTTTATTTAGACAGAAAAGAGGAGATGGTGGGGGAAGTACTTCTGTGTATGTTTATCTTATTGATTGTTAAATAAAATACTGTTTGGCCAATGAGACAGCAAGTAGACGGCACTAGGAGTCAAAGAAGATTCTGGGAAATGTAGTAGAGAAGTGTGATCCAGGCAGGAAGTGACATAGCAAGGAGACTCATATTTAAGTGAAGGAGAATCAGGAAGGGTCCCTCTTTCCCCTTCACCTCCTCCAGCAGCAGGATGTGATCCACCAGCAAGGAGGGACGCCAATAAGGCATCTGATAAGATAAGTCTTATAAAATATATAGATTTATGATAATTAAGACTGAGCTAACAAATGAGAATCCTAGTCATTGGCCAAGCAGCTTTGTACCTAATACAAGTTTCTGTGTATTCATTTGGGCCTAACTTGGGCGGGCGGCTGGTGTAAAGCTCACACGTGGCAGTGGGGCTCAGGCGGCTTTTGGCAGAAAGATTTATTGTAACAGTTATCAGTTAAAGTAGTTTGTTTTTTAAAGAACCTTTTCTCATTGTAGACTCCTAATCACCTCCTTCCCCTCAAATGCTGTTTAGCAATTAAGAACTGATTTGATACTCTGCAACCACAGGAAACTCTGGGCCACTAACAGTATGGCCTAATAAACATCTCATTTGCAAAGGCTATAAAGTCAAACAACCTTACATATAAAATACCAAATTCTAAGACTAGAATGATATTGAAAGTAAAGTCATGGTTAATTGGGATAGAAATGGTCACAGTTCTTTCAGACAGTGGAATTGCTTTAGCCCATGGTCTACTATTGTTCTCCACCACCTGAAATAGACATAGTTCAACACTTAGGAAACTATACCAGGCACAATCAAAGATTTTAATGTGGCACTTTCTATTTCTCAAGGAGTTCACTAGGCTAGAAGATGGCTCAGCAGGCAAAAGTGCTAACTGAGCAAGCCTCAAGACTTGGGTTTGATCCCTAGAACCCACATGGAAGGAAAGAACCAACTCCTGAAAGTTGTCTTCTAATCTCCACATGCATGAGTAAATCAAAACAACTCTGAGATACTATCTTACTCCTGTCAGAATGGCCAAAATCAAAAACACTAATGACAGTTAATGCTGGAGAGGATGTGGAGAAAGGGGAACACTCCTCCACTGCTGGTGGGAGTGCAAACTTGTACAGGTACTTTGGAAATCAGTTCCTCAGGAAAATGGGAATCAGTCTACCACAAGATCCAGCAATTCTACTCTTAGGCATATACCCAAAAGAAGCACATTCATACAACAAGGACATCTGTTCAACCATGTTCATAGCAGCACTATTTGTAATAGCCAGAAACTGGAAGCAGCCTAGATGCCCCTCAACTTAAGAATGGATAAAGAAAGTGTGGTACATTTACACAATGGAGTACTAATACTCAGCAGAAAAAAAAAATGGAATCTTGAAATTCGCAGGCAAATGGATGGAACTAGAAGAAACCATATCGAGGTAACCCAGTCACGAAAAGACTACGATGGTATGTACTCACTCATATATGGATTTTAGACATAGAGCAAAAGCAGCCTACAATCCACACCACCAGAGAAGCTAGGAAACAGGAGGACCCTAAGAGAGACATACATGGTCCCCCTGAGAAGAGGAAAGGGACAAGATCTCCTGAGCTAATGGGGAGCATGGGGGGAAAGGGAGAGGGAGTTAGGAGAAAAAGAAGGGGAGAAGAGTTGGGGAGAGGAGGACATGAGGGAGCAGGAAGATCTAGTCAGGGGAAGAAAAGAGGAGAGCAAGAAAAGAGATACCATAATAGAGGGAGCCATTATAGGTTTAAAGAGAAATATGGCACTAGGGAAATGTCCAGCCAATTACAAGGATTCCCCCAACTAACAATCTAAGCAATAGTCTAGATGCTACCTTAAATGCCCTTCTCCGATAAGGAAATTGATGACTACCTTATATGCCATCCTAGAGCCTTCATCCAGTAGCTGATGGCAGCAGAAGCAGACACCCACAGCTAAACACTGAGCTGAACTCTAGAATCCAGTTACAGATAGGGAGGAGTGATGAGTAAAGGGATCAAGACCAGGTTGGAGAAACCCACAGAAACAGCTGACCTGAGCAAGGGGGAGTTCATGGACCCCAGACTGATAGCTGTGAAGCCAGCATAGGACTGGTCCAGACCCCCTGATAGTGGGTGTCAGTTAGGAGGCCTGTGCAATCTATGGGGCCTCTGGCAGTGGATCAGTATTTACCCCTGGTATATACATGAATTTTGAGAGCCCATTCCACATAGAAGGATACTCTCTCAGCCTGGACACACTGGGGAAGGTCTAGGCCCTGCTCCAAATGATATGACAGACTTTGAAGATTCCCCCATGGAAGGCTTCACCCTTCCTGGGGAGTAGAAAGGTGATGGGATAGGGAGTTAGTTGGGAGCAGGGGAAGAAGGAAGGGAGAGGGAACTGGGATTGACATGTAAAGCAACCTTGTTTTTAATTTAAATTAAAAAAACCTAAAACAAAAAAAAAGATAGGATACCTTTAAGAGACTCAGGAAAAGCTGGATGGTGGTAGTGGTACAGGTCTTTAATCCCAGCATTTGGAGGCAGAGGCAGACAGATCTCTGAGTTCAAGGCCAGCCTGGTCTACAGAGTGAGTTCC